TATAATCCTATATATATTACATAATACATATAAATATATTAAGTATATACAATATTATACAATATTAAAAATTTATAGTGTGTAAACGAAACATTACTTCCCGTTGATGTATTTGAAAATTATTCATATCCAAGACAGTATTGTAGTTGCCAAAAATCACATTTTATGTTGCAGAATTCTAATACTATATAAAAATAACCCAAATTTTATAAGTATTATAATTTATAATTTGTAATTTATGGACAATTATTAAATGTACAAATTGCGTATATTGATTAAATTTAATACAAAAGAATGATCATTACTGTAGAGATGCGCATAAATCAAAAGATCTTTATAATTCGCGTAAGTGGAATTTAATGGACGACGCAGCGGAATCACACTAACTAATTTATCAGGAATCGTGCACATATGTCGATCAATATCAGGTGATAATTATCAGTACGCTGACTAGACACAGGACATCGGACGCTATAATTATATTTCAATTCTAATGCAATGTAATGCTGCATCATCGGGTCGCCTTTAATATTAATTGTGCCTACAATTTCATTCGAATATATCTAACGTAATATCTTTTTTTTAAATGCTTTAGTATCATTGCAATAAATATTGCAAATTAAAGTTCTTACTATTTATTTATGTATATACTTCATATTTTCATTACTGATCTTTTTTAATACATAATTTATAATTATTGTATAGACTTACGCAATCTGTTATATGCATATTAGCTTTATCTCATTATATTTATTAAGTAATTTTAATATTACTTAGTTTTTGTTTTGCTTTTCTGATAACTGTGATTAATATTATGAACGAAAATATAATTTATTTTGTAGTTTATTATCATTCAATTTTTCATTCTGAATATACTGTAATTAAAGCGTCACTTCCTTTTTATCCGTCCATTTATAACATCCATCCATATCCTAAGAATAACCTCATTGATTATATGATATACTTAACTCTTTCCTCACCAAAAAGCAATGTACGTATTTCTAATATTTCTCATCTAATCTTCTTCAAAATATTAAGCTAAGCTTGTGACAAACTCGGTAATTAATTATTCAAATTATTACATTGTATAGTAAATATAATAGCTTATATAATTTATTATTCTGCGACTATTAATCATTAAAATAAAAAAATAAGAAGTGAAAAGAGCTACGTAATGGGTGGACATTCATGTCAACATCTTGATGTCTATCAAGAGAATATAACAAAGATGCGGGATCAATTTCCTGGGTTCCTTCGAGCAGAGCCAAAGGCAAGAGCAAGAAAAAAGGAGTCTTAGACTTGTCGGGTTTGTAATACGAGTGTGGCCCACTTTTACCCGACAAGCGAAGTCTTATGTAACGCGTTCCTCGATCCTTCTGCTCACGTAAAAGCGTGCTGAGATCCATTAATGGGAATGAGGAAATGGCAGAACCTCGCCAAGAAGCAGCGAGATGCAGTAATCCACTAAAGTTTACTTACATGTCCTTCCAATATGACGTGCAGTAACGATTTTTAGAAATGATGTATAAAATCAAGAATCGAATTTTATCGTAATTTTAACGTTCCATATTATTTTTCTATGAAATTATTAAACGATAATTGAATTAGATTATACTTATTAAAAATTGTAATTTGCATTACATTTGCATCTATACGCGCGAGTCAGATAAATAAAGTAAAAAGTTAAATAACCTAGTTTCCAACTACTTTATCAGCATAAACTTTAATCGCATAAACTTTATACCGCTTTTAATTTTAAAAAAACATATATACATATATATATAATTCCAACTTTAGATAGATATTATTTTTTAAAATAGATGTTTAAAAGATGGGAGGAAGAAATTTTATATCTTGTTAATATGCATATACATTTTTGAAAAAAAAAATTTATAATTTCTAAATATTCTTGTTTTAAATATTCTTTGTTATAAATTGTATTATATTACAAAAGTAAAATGCAACAATAAAATTATTTTACCATAAGCCGACTTAAATGATTTAATATATATTTAAACGAATTTCTTCACTTTTGACTCGAATTTAAATAACAATTAACAAAAGATTTTTGTATTGCGAAATTTTATGAAACGATGAGAAATCATTTATTTCCTTTTTCATCGATACTTATGTTACATGTTTGCCAACCAACTTGAGTAACCTTCCTTAATAGCATTTCGAAGCAAAACGAGTTTTTCTAGGACACCACAGAAATAATAATTCACATTCGAACGACCGAATGATTATTACAAAAACGTGCCTGACATATCGAGAATTTCATTCATATATTTGCGACTTTTCTCTATTATTTTATTGGAAACAAATAAACCAACAGTAGGAAAAGACATTTGATATATAAATATGACGGTAATTGTTCCTTAAAAATTTGCTCTCTCTGGAAAGAAGTTAATGAAAATGAAGGAATTAACGAACGCATAGAACGAACAATGTATCCATTTCGATGATCTTTTATTATTTAAAACGCCTGACAATTCTGTGATGATACAAAAATACAAGATTTATGTAAAATATATATTGCATAACAGTATCACAATATATATATATCAAAATATTCAATATACGAATAAAATTAAAAAATTTTTTTGTAAAGATGGAATATATCCTTTGGCGAAAACACTTCGTCGACAAAGTAAAGATTCAAACAATATGCTGACGAATTATTGTGCCACCTGTGACACAAGTTCGGACCAGAATGTCGCATAGTCCTTCAATACAGTTCCACTGAAAAAAATATATTATTAAAATAAATTATTGACATATATTATTAAAACAAATTATTAAACACTTTTAAACATAAATATATTTATATACTAAAACATAATTAAATTATATATATAATTTTCTTCTACAATTCTCATAAATCATTTTTAATTTCAAATATAACAAATCAGAGCAGTCAATTTAAATTATTTTTAAATACATTTTAAAAGCTATTATAATTTGACACATTAATTATAAATAACATAAAATGTATTATAATAGGTTTAATTTTTTTTAAATGATAAATTGCCGCTCTGTGCGATTGACTCGCGATCTGCAGATCTCACATACGCGATTTTTCGAAAGAAACGTTTCTAAACCTATATTAACTTACTTAATTTTTACTAACTATATATATTAAATTACTTAATTTTAGGTTTCATTCGCAGGATATAATATTCATACGATAAATTGCGAGAAGAAGATAACACAAATTTTATTGTATGATTATTATATCCAAATGAGATCTAAAATTAAGTTTAATATGTATATTTAGAAATATTTCTTTTTAGCATGTTCTATTAGATATTAACATTGAAAATGACCGGAATGTATTGGTCGAAACGTATGTTATTATATCTATTTTTAAATTAAAATATATTAGTATATATTAACTTGCGCTCTTAATCCTTGATATTTCAGTATTTATTTTTATATATAATTGAGCGATAACTTTTTTAATTAAAAATTTTTTGATTAAAAATAAAATAATGTATTTTTATAAATTGCTGGCAAACTTAAATGTTATTTTACTACCTAAAAAATTGTTAATAAACAGTTTAAAAAGTACGCTTTTTATACATAATATAGATTACATTTATAATAATTTGACTAATTATTTATTATTCTATGCGAACGTGGCTCTCAGAGTAAAATTTTGACAATTATTGCTTGTTTGGCTTTCATCTGAATAATATATGCAATTTTTATATTTTATACTAAAACAAAATTTACTTTTTGTAATTTTTTTTTTTATAATTTGACGTGCTACGCTTGGAATAATTGATTGTGACCTATGGAGACGGAAGGTGAGTGGAATAAGTATACAGAGAATTAATAACAATATAATTAATTTCTTTGTTCATTGTATTCTTCAGTTAGTTGCTTGGCAAAGAGACAAATTTGGCAACTCCCAACAAGACAGTAGAGATATGCTCATCTTCAGTATCACAGAATTTAATCCCAACATTTGCGGACTACATATATATATATATATAAAAAAAAATTGTATCGACATTGTAGCTTATTAATATATTAATTGGTGGGAGGGGGGAGGCGCATCAATTTCCGCGTTGTATTAATGTTCTCATTGCTCTTATTATTATTTTTATCGTTGATATTTTCTTAAAAGAGGGAAAAAGAGAAAAAATTTCGAAAAATATTCTACATTGCAAATTTAAAAATGAACCGATTTCAAACTCTCTCTCTCTCTCTCTCTCTCTTTCTCTCTCTCTCTCTCTCTCTCTCTCTCTCTTGTAATGATATTTTAAAATTTATAGAAAAGCCTTTAATTTAATTTTATCTTATAATATAATAATTATATTCTTTTAATGTTTAATCTCCTGTTGTTAATAAAAAGAATTTAATTTAATAAATATTTAAGAATTCCTAAAAATCAAGAAATACTTTATCTTTTGTTTGATAATGTAAGATTTATACAGAAACATTTTATAATTTGATTGAATATCAAGACAATTTATAATAATAAACATTTTATAGCCTTTATTTTTTACATATACATGAGTTCAAGACGAGAGATCGACAACTTGCGGTCCAACTTTCTACTAAAATTTATGCTAGAAAATTTATCAAATTATTAACAAGTTTCATATATGCGTGGAATTACGAATAATATGATCAAATTATAAAAGCAATTATTTCCAGCGGCCAACATCATACAATGAATCTCATCGTGAACCGACTGCGAATTATTGCGCGTGCATTAGGTAGATTATATATCTCATTTAAATGGTTATTAAATTTGATTCAACTGTATGAAAGATATCTACGCGCGTATAAAAAAAAATGACTTAATATCCTTAATGTTCAAAAGAATTAAAATTACAGAATGTCTCAAGTTTTAAAAAGAATCTTAAAGATACTTTAAGGTTCTTCATATTTTTAGAAAGCATTAATCAAGTATATATGAGTATTATTTATCATCTATAAAATCTTTCTAAAAAATTTAGTACAAAGAATTTTTTACAGCTAAACTGATGATCAAACTATGGGTTGTCCAGAAAGTTCATGCCGACTAACCTATATAATTTAATAAATGTATATTAAAATTTAAATTTTCTGCGTTTTAATTTTCCTTCAACGTCGACACGAACTTTACGGACAACCCAATACATGTCCTCGTTATTATTAAATTTGCTTCGTCATGGATGCAAAGTATAAATTCGTGAAAAAGAATTTTAAAATACAAAAATTAATTGACATCTTCATTAATAATAATAAAAAAAACTCAAAATCATATATAATAGTAGTATTCGAATCCAAATAACGTACTTGTGAAAGAAGAAAGACAACGTTATGAAAGAAGAAATCAATTTAGAACATGATGACCTTTTTAATATTTTAAAATTATTTGAATTATATAAATAAAATTATATGTGTATGTGCAAATTTTAATAATAGCTTTTTAATATTATTTATAAAAATAATATAAATAATTCCTATGTGTGATTTTTTTAAAACATGTCTAATCATTGGAAATTTCATTTCTTCCTAAAATAAAAACTTCTTAATAAAAATGAGGAAGTTGAGATATTTTGCTAGTGATTATTTATAATTATGTAGCTTTGAAAGGTGAAAACTGTGTTGAATAAAATGCGTATAAGCTCTTGAGTTATACAATAATAATGAAATATGCAATTAATATAAATTACTACCGGAAATTTCATTACATAATTTTTAAACAACCAGGTCAATTACAAACGTATGCATTTTTAGCATAATATCGTATATCTCTTATTGAAGTTATATATCTTTCGTGGAATGTTTAATAATTATACAAACTACAATGCAAGTTTCAAGGACTCGCGCTGCAATTTGCGACTCTCAACATTGTCCTTCCTACATTCCATTATTAATGCATGAACGGACATTTCCCACGGGACTTCCGCTGCTAAAGAATATAGCACTCACGTAAAGTAAACATTTCCTCGTGCGTCCGCTGGTGCGTTCCAGATGAAGGTAGCTTGCTCCTTATCATGTGGATCAGCGTGCGTCACAGCACTACACTCGGAATGTATATTTGTATTCGGCGTTTGCGTCCAAGATCCAATCCATTTGTTTGAAGTAGTATCACGTGCCTGCACGAAGAATCCTTGGAACGGGGCACCCACAATGGTGACTGAAAAATAGACGAAAAATAGCTAAGTTGTGATAACTATCGACATCATTCGCTCAGATAAAGTTCAACTTATCTCTTATATATAAGTTGCGTTTCGATACTGCCAGTACTGAAAATCTATAATATATACATTACATGTGCACTATAAATTTTCAACACTGGCAACACTGGTGAATATCAGAATACAACCGTAGTACACATTGCTATAGACTTGTGAATTTTACGTTCAGTCGTATAAATCCATCGCGGTATCGGTAAAATAATATAAAAGAAATAGTGGAACATAATGCTCGCAACAGTAATCTCAATTTATATCCGTCGAGGAATTTGAAATGAGTGTTGGTGTGAATAAACTGAATAAAATATAATTACAAAGAAGAGATATAAATCCTTAAAAAATTTTGGCAGCATTATATTGTTGACGCTGCAACTAAAATCTATTTGAAAACTTTTGAACTTTTGCTATGTAATTTCAATTTAATGAAACATCGTGTGTTTAAATAAAATAAATAAAGTTTAAATATAATAAATTATATAATAAAATTAAAAATATTGAACTATATTAATTTTAAAGAATAAATTTAAACTACAATATGAAAATGATGATAATTGATATAAATGATATAATGAGTGATAATTTTACATTTAAAATATAAATTATTAGAGGTATTATCAGATATAAAGTAACAATTATAATAGAATTGAAATTTTTATAAAATACACGTAATATTTAAATGTGCAATGTGATTTATAACAAAAAAGAATTGAGCATATTTCAAATTCGTTAAATTGATATAATCTTACCTGCACTTTTGCAACATTTATGTTAAAGCATCTCATTAAATTTCAGTCTGAATTTAGAGACAAAATTACTAATTAAGGGGTCGATTCAGTAACTCTTAATGACAGTCGTTGATGTCGTGGCGCAAATATTGACTGCGTTCAGTAGAGAAAACATCTTTGCAAAATCTTTTCAATACGATTAGTTCTTGCTTTTGGTTCCTCACAGTTCTAAACGTATAAACCAATCATATTGAAGAATTTTACAACAGTTTCAAAGCTGCTTTCTCTGCTGAACGTCATTATGTAAAAGTAAAAAAGCTGCATAATGACATCAACGATTGTCGTTAAGAGTTACAAAATCGGCCCCTAAATATCAATATTTTATTTTTTTTATTGTTCTTGTTCTCATTTTTATTGTTTTTTCTTTATTCTTCTAAAAAAACGCGATACGTTATTTTAAAAAAATCGTTTTAGAATTTGAAAAAAACGGACTTTTAAAAATTTAATTTTGATCTATGGGATTCGCATTATAAGAATTAGTTGATACATTTGCTTCGCAATACGAGTTTTCAAAGTTTCACAAGTTTTCAAGTTTCAGATTTATTGCATAACAGATTTCAGACTTTCATTTCAACCTCTGTGGATAAATGACATCTACGTTTAATTATGCATAACCGACATAAGGAAACTGTTCGCATGCTCGAAAATTAACGGGTGTACTTATCCCTCTTGTAGACTAATTCGCCATTGCTCCACAAGCGCAGACGTGTTCACCAACGAAACTGACGGAATACATTGTTACATACATTTAACACGTTTCGCAATTATAATTTTGATGGATCTAATTATCTCATGTCGGATAAAATACATGCTTCTTTGACGCAAAATAAAGTAAACTACTAAATGCTATGTAAGTAATAATTAATTAAGCGAATAATAAAAAGGAAAAGAGAAAGTAGAAATTAATTTCATTCTATGATTGCATTGTCTTGCTTTTCTTTTACAAAATAATTATTTTAATTTATCGTATTTTAGAAATTATATTTTTTTAATTATGCGCATTGCAAGATATTAGCAATATTTCTTCTTCCTTTTTTTTAATGTATTAATTAAGAAAACAATTGAAAAGTTATTGAAACTAAATTACAGTTATTTTGTAATGAGAATAAAATAAATTAATTACACTATAAATAATCCTTTATACACGTATATATTTATAAAAATAAGAAATATTGAGATATAAAGATATATAGTTAGATATATATATAGTTATAATTAATATTTTTGGAATAATGACGATCTGAACTTACATTACAATTATAGTGTTTTTAAAACTATCAAATACGTTATCTAATTTAAATTTAATAATTATAACTGCCTTAGAAAAATTTCAAATAAATCTTTTTTTATAAAGATAATTATTCACATATCGAGATCTTTCATACATATACTGTTGAGGAACTATAATCAATTTTTTTATTCTTTTTATATTTATTTTTACGTGTTTATAAATATAGATATATTTTTGCACTATATATTAAGATTTTATAAAGTAATGTTTAATTTAACCTTCTCTTTCCGTTAATTTATTATAAAGTATTCAGTTTCAATAGCTTCTTCTCGCCCTATACATGTAATGTCCTTTTATCTTATTAGCTTTATTTCAGACGACCTTTATTTCAGATTTATAAGTGTACTCCGAAATAAAATTAATTATAAAATTAATTATAAAATTATTCTAGCCTATATTGCGGAGCATTTCTCGCTCGAAAGTACTTTAAACTTAACTTAATAAAGATATCATTTGTTTTGCGTAACAAGAAATTAACCCAGAATACCCAAATGATGTTTAATAATATAAGCGCCGCATTTGGCTCACCTGTGACCTGTGAACCTGGTTCGTATTGCAACGACGAAGCCAGTATCTTGTAAGGGCTCGTGCTTAGGGGTTGTGACCGCGCTTCACCATGGTAGGGTTGATTAGGTCGTGGCTTCACGCACGCGTCCACCGGTCCACCGTCTGGAAATCCAAAAACGGAAATCGACGAGAAGAGGACGAGTGTGAATAAAACCTTAACGTGTTCGGCAAAATGCATCTTGATCACGTCGCTTCCTTCATTCCAATGATGCGAGAGATACATGCAAAAAAAATTTTATTAATATCAGTTGTTTTTGAGGATGAGTGGAATGTTTAATATTCATAATTAACTTATGCAGATACATTATATTATATTTTCTGAGTGCTCAAATAATTTGTTTTAATTATAATGCGTTTTGTATTTACATTTATATTAATATCATTTCCGACGTTCATCCTCTTATGAAAAAATACTATTGGATACTATATTAATACTATTAATGAAGAAACTATTGGAAGGAATAGAATGTATGCAATATTAAATTTGAATGATTTTTAAATTATTTCCAATTGTTTTTTCGCAAATCCAATAATATTTTTACTTGAAAAATGCCTCCATAATTTAAATACCATAAGAGTAAAAATAAATATTATAGAAAATAGAAATAAATATATACAACTGATATTTAAAAGCAGCTTATATATAAATAATATTAAATTAACCATCTGAAATTTAAATCATTGTTGATTAATTTTATAATTTTTTATACATGACTAATTTCAGAAATAAAGTTCTAATACATAAACCTATAATTTGAAACAATAAAAAAATTCATAACAAGACTACTTAGGGCAAGTTTGATATTAATTAATCTGATTGGAAAAGATAAATGCCGCGAAGAGATAGTCGGAAGCGATCACTTCTTTATGCAAGCGATAAATTAAATAACTTCGCGCGATAAATTACAGAAACTTACTCGAAATAGTTAGCTGTTTACACAACAAGTAAGGATAAAAAGATATTTCGTGCTCGTGACAGATCCGCACGTAAGAAACTGCAGTATTCGATTGATTGCTGGCAAGTCAAACGTTAGTAGGATCCCACCACAGGATCACAAAGCGCACTTGCGTTTACTAAATTGATCCTTCACTTTCACTTCCTTCGTCGATCCTACAACCGGTTCCACTCTTCGTTCATTTAGGAGAATATCTACGATTTACACATAGCAGAAATCACATATTGCCATAAATAGTAATTATATATGTATTTCTCATCACATAACGATACATGATGTAACTACTACTGTTTTCATCAATTATAATTATATACGTACAAATTGATCTCTTCGGAAAACGTGTCATTATTTTTTTTTATTGCAATTATATACATGTAAATTTATAATAAAACTATTTATTTTCTTGTTTTCTTGAAACTTAAATATTTTTTAATTAATAAAATTCATTACAAATTACAGAATACACTTCGGTTATTTTATACTCCTAAATACTTCTGTAATTCATTGGTAATTCAGTGAATTACATTTTAATTTTTAGACATTAAATAAGTACATAATTGAACTATTAAAATTCTCTTTATAAAAAGGAAAAATAAGATCTAAAAAGTCATTTTAAATTAAAGTGAAATGTTTTTATAAAGCCATTCATTCTAAAAAATATGTACATCATAATTTATGTAAATATATACGTGAATTTTATTTTTAATTTAAAACTATTTTTCTATGAGATTATAATAATTTTATCATCAACTGATTCTTTTATTCGTAAATTAAGTTAATTTAAATAATACAAAGTGAAAATCAAAATAAAAGATATGCTTATTGAATGTGTAATATAGTACACTCTTGGATATCTTTGTGCATCGCGCTATTTGCATTACTTTTTATCGTGCATGGCAGTCTTTAATCTTTATTATATAATTATTATCACACACACACATACACACACACGCGCGCACGCACGCACGCACGCACACACATACACGCACGCACGCACGCACGCACGCACGCACGCACACACGCACACACATACACACACACACACACACATATGCGCGCGCACGAAATTATTTACTCATTAAAGCTATTTCGTTCTATATTCTAATTAATCTTGTTCTTTCATTTATATTTTTAAGCTCCGCAAGAGAATATATATGAATATTAATTTCCAAGATCTGGAGTGAATGGATGAAAGGAATCTATATTCATATCAATTAAATAAAATAGATAAAATTATAAAAAGGAGAGTTCAAGAACGTCGACAGGTATTTATATATTTCGACAAAGCAATGTATGCAGTTTCCTGTTGCATGATAAAAAACTTTAAAATTTCTGTGGCATCTCGTATTTTTATCCATTTGTTACACTTATTCATTATAGCAAATTGAGTTGTTGCATATTACATTTGATTACATATTTTGCGAGTTGCCAGTACGATCCTTTCACTGATTATTAAATATATGTTGTGCGTACAATTGATACGCGTTGCATTATACGAGAATTATAACATTGACCCTTACGCAATAATTTCCTTTGTATGCTACACACTCATTCATCGATTATTATACGTCTAACATTACGTATTCGATCGAGATGAGTATAGTATCATAATAATAGAATAAAATGTTCTGCAATCGTGCAAAGCAATTGCATGTTAAACTCTTCGAACGAATGCGCATAATGCAAAAGCGTGCGCGCGTTACACATACAATGAGAGCAAAAAGTACAAGGAAATTTTTTATAAAAAAGTCTTATTTGTAGAAAATAAACATCAATTAGCAATTTTATGCAATAAATATATTTTGTTCTAACATATACAAATGAGTTTCGCATATATTTCTGATATTATAAATTAAATTTTTCGATTGTACTTACTTTTGAGTTAATACTTTTTGAGTATCCAAATAATGGAACTTTTAATTTTTGCTTATTTTTCAGATGATATATTTTCTATTAATTAATACACACCTTTTTAGTATATATAATTTAAGAAAGAAATATACAGTCTATTTTATATTTTATGAATAAATTGTTAATTATTCAGCAAGAAATGATCAATTAAACGTCGAATCGACGTCAAATTGTTGAAATCATCGTATCGATATTGATTCGACATCATTTGATGACTCATTTCTCGCTGGATAATATTTACTTTTTAAAAATAGTTTTTTTAAAAAATATTTTCTCTGTACGAATACTTTTTGTACTCACTGTACATGTACTCTGATGTATGTGTATAGTGAGTTCACTCAATCAATGCGACTTTTCACACTATATTATTGATTTTCCACGGCTTTTTCAGACCGTCTCGGTTGTATACACGATGGGAATACTTTTTTCAGATTGCTTCGTAATCACATCGCAAATCACATCAAATTTATTTATTGTATTCGTTGATTTACAAATATCTTTCCTGTTATCTTAAAACATGTACAAGTTCTCGCAATACGTATTTTTTCTTATAAAAAGTTGATAAAAAAACTTACATTTTAATCATTCAAAATATTTTTAATTAGAATAATATTTTTCTAATTAAAGTAAGTTTGTTGCTATAGATCATATTTACATGTCATTTTTAAATAATTATTATATGTATGTATACAATTATTAAATTATATGTATAAATACGTATATAATTACATGTATATTGTACAACAAAACTGTCACCCTATATAAGAACTCATCAAAGTCATCTAATAAGTAAAAATTTATATACAATATTTTTACTTATTTATATGCAATAAATGTTATAATGTAGAATACATCTTAATAGTAGGATAATATATCTTAATCTATTGATTGGTTTGAGGTATAAATACAAGAAAAATATATCAATTTGAACACAAACAGGTGTGGAGTGTAATGTTCTTCTATCTTATTCTTCACAGCTTTTACTATTAAAAAAATGCAAAATTATTATAAATAGTTTCTTAAATCTTAACAAATGTTGTCACATAAATTTTCTAAAGTTAATAAATTATTTTGGACAAATTATCCAAGCCGTACAGATTTTTCTATTACTTCCACCGCACAGGGTCGTGGAAACCATCCCCTTATACATTTCGATTTTCCATCTTCTCCTTCCTTCTGTTCTTTTCGTCCAAATAACCAATATCTATAAAAAAAAAAGTATAAAAATTTTTCGTAAATTAGCAAATTATTTAATTAAAAAATTAATTTTCAATAATTCATATCATATACAAAATACATACTTCTTCCAACGTGTTACAATCACAATATCATCTACATTCAACTTAATGCGAGATTCATCAGTACAAAGTGGATGAAAAAATACGCCGAAACCATGTCCAATTGGAAATTTAGATCCTGATGTAGCTTTTACAATCCTATATATGCGTGCTTTTTTCCGTTTGTCTAATTTTTGAGCAAGCTGTTCTCTCTGTAAAATAATTAGCATATTATAATTACAGTTTTTATGAATTATTAATAATAATATACGCGCGTAAGCGATATTTAAATTTTTGTCATATATGTTTTTAAATAAATAATTATTATAGAATTATTATGTGACATATTATTAATTAAATAAAATTACCGTTAATGTATATTGATCACAGCCATCAATAACTGGCCACGTAATACCATCGCCGACGGGAGTACAATCCCATGTAAGAACTTGACTAATATTGAAAAGCCATCCTTTTGAATATGGATGTATATATTCGGCATCTGTATCATTTCGCCAACATTGGGACTTCTGCAGAATCCAATCTTCTATTTCTGTTCGATTTCTCAAGATAGCTAATATCTATGCAATTTGAAGAATTATACAATTAATACGTCAATTGAATATAAGAGTATTAAAAACATTTACCTGGACACTTAATAACATTCCTACTGCAAGTACAACGCCAACTGATGCACCAATACTAAATACGACTAATATTATTGTATAGAACTCTGGTGGTGGGAATGGCAAAGGTTTCAGTGATAACACAGTTGTTATCCAGGAAGTTAATATAATAAAAGAGACGGAACAACCGCCAATTGCGCTTGCCAAAAACGCTGTGAAATGTCCATGATTATAATGTCCAACGCATGTATTTATCCATGGACAGTGATGATCCATTTTCATCACACAACGATTACCTAAAAAGTAAATAGAAAAAAGTGTAGAATAATTAAAAGAGTTGTATTGGAAGATTAAACAATATTCTTTAAACTCTTTTATGTATACATTTTGTATTTTTCTGTCAATAAGTAGATTGACAAGCAAGAATAGCAAAATAGGAAAAGCACCAAATTAAATTATATTATCATCGTAATAACAAATTTACAAATCTCATAAAAACATATCTTATAATAACATATTAATATTTAAAATAATATTGAGTAATATCTATATTTATTATTACTTGTTACTTTAATGTTTTAATTACATTATATTTAATCTCTTACATTTTCTACAATGATGTGATCTCGGTGCCTTATAACCTTGGCAGACAATACAGTATTGCAGATATTGTATATCTGTAGCTTTCTCCTGAAAACGAATCATATTAATGCAAACATATTAATTAATAATACGACAAAATCTACATGCTTTTTTTTATTATAAATTTATCATTAATTATTATCATTAATTTAAATAATAAAGCCCAACGTAACAATATCATGTTTACCATCTAAATATTTAAATAATGTAAAATTAAATTAATATAATCAAATTCCTCTGATTTGAAATTACAATTGTATAAATTCGTTTTAATTTTTATTTCTATTAGTAATTAAATAAATGTAAAAAAAAAACAAATAAAACAATGAAAAAAAAATGGGAAATTAAGTTTATGGATTTTCAGTTATTTGCAAAGGAATGAAAAAAAGTGTTTCACTTTTTAAATAGGTTTAATAATAAGTGTGTAATATATATTACTGGCATCCATTTTAATGTGAGATATCCGGGTCCTTCAACAATTGCACTGATAAAATGGAAGAGAGTCAATCCACTGAGAGTGAAGAACAGTAAGAAACTGGCAGCTGCTGGAATACTGTCTTGTGGTGGCCACCATTGTCTACTACAATGTATCGTCATCAACGTGATGAACTTTATCATCGCTGCAACACAAATTAATATAACAAAAATTGCAATCTACAACTAATCTCCTTGCCATCAAGATTTTATGCTGGTAATCTTATAAACCAAATTACAATTTATATTATTTATAACACCAAATAAAATGAGCTAAACATTTTATATATATGTAAAAAAAAATCATGCAAAAGCCTTGTAAATATAACAGAACATTAAAATATATACTCTTTGCAATATATTATTGATATTATTGAACACTTTCAAACAAAAGGCACAATATTATATAGTTAAATCGTTACGTTCTTGTTATTTATCAATGTTAAACAAAGATAAAATAATTCACCATATTATACTTTGTCATCTAGCTTGCTGAAAGATATCTCTTGATATTACCAATAAATTTTTAAAATTACGTCTATCATGTAGTACTTTAAGATGATTTTAATTAAATTTCAATTAACTTATCAAGTAATATTTCGTTAACATGAACAATTGTCTTTTTCTGTCATTTGATACATCACAAAAAAGATTAACTCAAAGATAATAAATTATATAACTCTCAAAATTAATAAACAATGATAAATAACAAGTAACTGGACTCTCATCAATGTACTGTATTTAAATACAATAAAATCTTTGCTTTTAATTGTCAGTTTCTGACAATTAAATCTCTTTTTATTATCTCATTTATAATCATTTTCTTCAGTTTCCTTAATTCCTTACTTGTCCAGGAAAATCCTTGTTAAAATCTTCTATTTTATTTTTCCTAGCTTTTCAAACATCATATTACTGTCAATTGTCGAGCAGTATTTTCTCATCTATATCTCCGCTACTCCTTTCAACAGATTTTTACATTTTTCTTACATAATTTCATTGATATTTCTTTTCACATATCAAATGACAAAAAATTAATAATTAATCTACATACAAACAGTATTTTGAAGTTAAACATCTTCAATTGAAGTTAATCGGACTTTAGTCAAGTTAATCGTTCTTATTATATATTTAAACGTAGCTGACAAGAAATCAATCATGTTTTCATTGACGTTCGATTGATCGGAGTCCATCCGGATTTGAGAGACATGACGTACCGAGTGAGGAGAGCGGTCCCCAATGGCATAATTTCTTCAATGGACCAACGCACATGTTGTCACCGTATAGTAACTTCAAATTCGCATCCGGACGTCCATTGACACTCTCAGATTTGACGACGACGATGATGACAACGACGACGGCAGCCAGATGAACCGAATCCTCGCAACGCAAACGTGCGTCTCGCCGCTCGCGTTGCTGTCAGTTGTTGTCGCAATGGCCGCATTCACGTATCCACGTCATCTAACCGATGCTGATCAAGCGGTGACCACTCTGAAACTAACGCCAATCTCGAATCTCGATTTTATTAATCGCGCGTGGTCTGATTTAGCTCACATATTAGCACTAGGACCACTAGAGCGACGCTTCTATGGTAAAATTTGCGATCATTTGCGATAATCGCAGATACTCGCGATACAATTAGTTGCTGCGATCGTTATAATGAGGTTATATTTTTCTGTGACGATAAGATATGAATAAAGATGAGGCCAGCTGCGGAATATGCAAGGTATTTGTCTTTGGATTTCATTGTTACTCATTGATTTTCCTGAGAAGTCGTATTCATCTTCGTCGAGATAAGCGAATGGAATCCTCGACTGTTACACGCAAGATTTTTTTCTCTTACATTAGTAAGTAATGGTAAAATTTGTCTGTGTGAAAATAGTTTTTTTAATCATGCGCATTACATGTTTTGTTGTAAAATGCCAGTAAAATATAGCAAAACCTGCAAAAGTTGCAAACAGGATGTAATAATAGGTTGCAAAAACCGACTAATGCCCGTTTCATCAATGTAGATTAACTTTAATCTCGGTTCAACTTACTCTTCATCTTTTTCTAATCTTTAGAATCGAGAAAGTTAATCACATTGTGGAAATGGGTATAAGCAGAATTTACTGTTTTGTAATTATTTAAATATTTTAAATACATCAAGGTCTGTTTTTTATTTCTGTACTTTCTGAACTGATGCACACGATGCAATAAGTTGAGGTGAAACAAATTTAATTTCATTTTGGGTCTCTTTCATCAATCTTAATTAAGTTAACCGACAGTTACATGGGGTTCATTTAGACTCAGTTTTACAGCTCATTATTACTCATTATTACTTAAAATAAATTAAACTTTAAAAGTTAATCATGAATTAACTCATTAACTTATTGCACTATATGAAAAATGCAGGAATAAAAAACACTTATAATCTACTTAGGTTGTATTTGGATATATATATGTATATACTGCCAATATTGACAACATTTATAATTCATGTTATGTATATTATAGATTTTCTAGTATAAATCTGAACACACGGTCTTGATTTTTTTGCTGTTAAATTGTATCAATTTCTGCTAATAAAATATAAGCAAATGCAAATGATGTTAATTTGCAGTATTCTGTTTAAATATATAGAGATAGTCTTGGCATTGTACTAACATTTTGCTCATGTGATTGTGATTTCTCTTCATATCTTCTCCATCTTATTATTTTGCAGATTCACAACTCACCAATGACATCCATACCATCTATACCCAAATCTAGAAAATCTGTAAGAGCAAAAGATACAAACTTTCTTTAGGATGTTACTTTCTACTTTTTATTAGCCTCTTTAAATCATATTGATTAAAATCTCACATATCACTTGTCACTATACGCAACATTTATCTTTGGAATATAACTTGACAAACAAATTCTATTTAAGTTATATTGATACTATAGATAAATTAAATTTGATTGCAAGGCATTACCAAGACTACATGATTATTTCTGATTTATTTGTGTAACAGATAATGCATTATTATTTTGCAGATTCACAGCCCACCAATGACATCCACATCATCTAAACCCAAATCTAGAAGCTCTCTAAAATTAAAAGTGGAAAGAAACATATCAAGACAACAAAATATATCAAAGTCATTTGAAACTGAAGAATTATTTAAAGATCAAAGTTATGAAACTACACAAGTGACAGAAAGTTCTAGTGAGGAAGACGAAAAGACATCTCTATGTCGTTCTCAAAATCGCTCTAGAACTATCTCTCCAGAAAGAAATGTTCGTTCACAAAAAATAAAGCAAGAAGATGAAAGAGATACTACAAAGAATAAACAGAATATAAGCAGTCTTTGCTTTATCTTTATTTTAATAGTATTAGGAATAATAGTTTTCGAATTACTTTTAAATAATAATAAAAGAGAGTCTACAATTAATAATCCTTTACTGTTAACTAAATCAGTTCAAAACCTTAAAGCATCATTTTCTAATCAAGAATTAGATATCTGGAATGATATTTTATCTGCTATAAACGAAGTAATATCAAGAACTCCCAAATTACCTTCAGTAATTCTGCTGTTTGCAAAGGAAACAACTACAATGAATTGTTTAGCTACTAAATTAGCAGATATGAGCAGTGATATTTTGAATGCAGATAATTATCTGATATTTAATCCAAAAGATTTCGGAAATGATGCTGGTGATATCATTACTACATTAAACGAACATTCTCTGGAGAAAAAGAAAGTTGTGGTGAGTATATATATATTTTAAATATAAACTCTATATGAACTGACTTGTACAATCAAATAAATTTGTTGCAGATTATTCATGACATATTGAATATTAATGCAGAAGCAATAAAGGCATTACATAATTTATGCGATAGAACAAATCCTTTAGTAGCAGAAGCTATTTACATTCTTACTATGCAAACTAACAGTTCTTTGTCACAACAGAAGAAGTTAAACTTTGTAGAAAATCAGATTTATAACCGACTATCAAAGAGTATCGATCAGGATATTTTGTCAGCACTTATAACACGCATCACAGATGGGATAATTATATCGGTACAACCTGAACCACAATTAAGATATTGCTAATCTGAATTGCAAGAAAATAAGCATATACAAAATAAGCATAACAGCACATTGATATAGTTATGTAAATTACAAAGTTAAATATGTTTTTTTAAATAATAAAATTATTAATTCAAAGCTAGCGCCCTATGTGCAGTTTGCTATTCGAAGAGACTCATTTAGAAAGGCAGATTCATCGAATTTGTAATTATTATTTGTTTATTATTTATGTCGAGTCACTAATAAAACGGTATTTTAATGAAATTAAAATAAATCAAGTTAGTTTGTGTTGATTGAAAATTCTTGAATGTAAAACTTTGCCTCAACATTTTCGATAAATGTAATAGTAATGAAGTACAATTATATATGAGCTGCGTTTCTATTCATATTTAAAAAGAGAACTATTATCAGGAGGCATGATGTCTTAAACATCAAGTCATTATCATTATATAAAAAAAATAAAACTACTAACATTCTGTTTAATCTCAGTTGATTGAGCTCTTTGTAAATATCAAATTCTAAAACACTTTCTAGAAATATTTGGAATGATTTTGTGACCGCGAGAAATTTATATCTTCTCATCTTGCTGAATAAAGTTTTCTATCTATATCAGCTGGATATAAATAAATAATAAATCACAAATCGCGAGCATTATGGAGAATCCATATTGATAAATGATTAGTTTCTGTAAATTTATTACGAATTACGAATCGCATATAGTTTGGTGTTACTTTTAGTAGTATAATATAAAATATATATTGATGTACATGATGAATGTAATGCTAAACATGTTATATATTTTTGAGATTTGTAAGCTATTGCAGTTTATTAATTAAAAACTATTAAAACTGAAAAAGATTCTAATATTAAAAATATTTTTTATAGTTTTTTTGTATTGTATATAATGAATTTAGCATTATAACTAACATATACATTATGATAATTATGATAAAATTACTTTTTGGTACAAAACTAAAAATATAAGATCTATAGCTCTGTTAATTTAACTTTATTTTGTTATGCCAATATTACACGAAATAAATTTTATTTTTAGCGAGTTTTTCTAATCACAATTTCATATTTCTATTTTCGAAAAATATAATGACACTGTACGTAGCGATTTCACGCATATTTCCGAATGACATATTTATTAGCTTCAAAATAAAATACAATAATTAGGATTATTTTGTGTATGTGTGATATTCGATTTTGTATTAATGTGTCAGTCGGCAGTCCATACAACAATTGAAATAATGTCAAGTATCGTATCCTGCTCATTGCCAATTTACAAGACCTAGTACGCTGTAGTTTTAATATGTTTAATAATACAAGTAATATTTACATATAATAAAATTGCAAAATATTATTGACAAGTTACATTTACAAATATACGCAAATAATTTATTTTTGTAACATTTTGACTTGCATATAATAAACGGTTCATATTAAAAAAAAATTCATTCACCTAACTTTTGTTACTCAAATTAAATATTAAAATAATATTAAACATATATATTAAATAAACATACAAATTTTATTTCATATTTTACATGATTTTCATTAACTTTTTATGATTTAAATAAAAATTTGTTAATTTTCTGATATGCATTCAATGCTTTTTAAAATATATTCATTTTAAGAATATCAAATTACAATTCAATATTTTCTAAAAGCAACTGAAAAACTTAAGATAACTAAAGCTTTAATACACAATATCTATTATACAGCTTTATTTCTATTTTAATAAATTTTCTAACATTGTATTACAGATCGTTGGGAAAAATATATTCATGATTTAGATAAGTGCTTTTCAATCTTTAATTCAATCAATAATGAATACTTTCAGCAGAAAAAATTCATAATAAATTTATAAATACATGTTCATGCTCTTTACGTATGAAATAAAAATAATAGTAATATTTGTTTTATTAATATTGATTAAACCAAATCTATTTTAATTAAAATAATTATAGAATACATTTTTTTGTAAAAATTTTAATATTTATAATTTATTTAAAGATTGTTGATTATACCACTTAAAAAACACTGATTTAGACCAATCCATCAGTTTTCAGGATTGATAGTGATCATATATATGATTTTGTGTGCCTTCCAACAAGCGACACAAATGACACAATGGAATATTACATCCTTGTTGTTACCAATGTTAAACAAAGATGACATGATCATTGTATCGCATCGTATCGCTTGTTGGAAGGCACACTATCATATATATATATATATATAATAAAAAATAATTCATTCTAAAATTTTATATAAAAATAACGTGCATAGCGCATAATCAACTCAACAAATTCAGTTTTCTATATTTATGTAATATTATTCAGTAAATATATTATAAATTGGCAACAAGCACCCATAGCTACATACTTTGCTAAAGTAATAAGTTAGCAAAGTTTCAACTAATGAGCTGTAGTACAGTCGTTCTCCGTCGTAATAATTCACAAATCGGTAACTAAAAGTAGATAGTATATATAGAGTTTGTGTAATATAGTGGTATCGTCAAACCTAAATAATAAATACATTTCATATATACAGTCATAGACTTTTCATACAGAATGTCCAAAATCTTATGTGCTGTACAATTTTAATATTATTCATTTTCATCGTAGGCAAATAAAGGGTTGAAAAATATTGATTCTGCGATAATTTAAAAATTCAATTATGAAAAACATAAGATAAAAAATCTTTATTTAATACATTTGCAAATATTTATAATTAAGAACTAATAATTGATTGTATGACACTAGATTAACAAAAGTATAAGTATATAATAATTGGAGTCGGCATTCCGCACGATTATTTAACATAAGAAAACCAAAGCATATTTTGCACGTATCTCAGTACAAATCATATCTATCACAAATTACAAATATCTAAATTCTCGCAAACTGTTGCATTGACGGCCAAATAAAACTATTGCTTCGCTTCTTGAGGGCACTCTGTATAGAATAGCCTTAAAATTACGAGATACGTATTTACAGTAAAAAAGTTTAATTGGTCATGTTTCTATCTAGTATAGTAAGGAGGTGAGTACCGCGTTGCGTAATGTTGTCCGTGTTGGCTACGTAGTCGCGTACTTCAGTCATTCAGTTAGTGTCTTGCAGGGTAGTGCAAGTTTTTTTTTCGTAATTCTGCGTCAGTCACATGTCGGACGAGGTGTGAGTTTGCCTCGACAAATTGTTCTGATCACTGTCTCCACTTCTACTTAAGCACTAAGACGTTTGTTTCAAAAACTAAACGTCCCATACTAAATACATGCAGGTATGAGTCTGTAAGTGTTCCTACACAAATTGTTTCAAGGCTCTAAACACAGACATTGTCGTAATTTGATGTAGATTTGAAAACAATTTCAGATCAACATTTCAGATTAACATAGAGTTATGGTTCATCTTAAATAATAAAAAGAAAGAAAAAATCAATTGAAAGTGTATGAAGAGTTTTTACTGCTTTTAATTTGAATAAAAGAAGAATAGATCAGTTATTTCAATTATTTTGTACTTCTAACACAATTATACACTCAAGCTCAGTGAATGAATATGTAAAATCAAATTTCCTATTGATGTAGGGGAGACCACAGTATTATCTCGGATCAGATGTTAGAGACAGATGTCTATCATTCTAATGAATAATTGAAAAAGCATGTGAGTAATTTCTGTTATTTAGCTTTTTCAGCTACTTTTTAAATTAATAGATATCTACTGCTTAACACCTGAGATAGCAGTACTGTGGACACCTACCTCCCATAAACAGATAGCTCGGCGTGTGATCTCCCCTACTAATTTTTAGAATATTATAAATCCCTGTGGAACGAATAACGTTTAACGAAACAGAGTTATATTCAGAAATTTAAAGACAGATGATTAGAATTCAAAGCCTTGCACTGGTAATTGGGAAGAATCTGGTGCGGTGAACTGATATTCTTGTCCTTGTGAATCGATTGAAGGTACAAGTCGGGTGTCTTCTTCCTCAGACCCAAAGAATCGTTCGATAATATCAAAGGCCTTTTGATAAATATCCATATTTTGGTGCGATTGCAAGAATTCTATCTTATCTAGGCCTGAAATTATTTAAAAAAAAATTGATTTAACAAATTAATATTTATTGACGATGACACATCTTTCATAGAAAACCTGTAATAAATTGATATTTTACCATAACATTCTTCGATAAGAACTGCATAAGGATTGAGACCATTATGCATAGTTGCATCTTGTTCTCCCAAGCGTAGAATATTTTCTATACCATTCAGAGCGACCTGAACAATTTTGACATCCATAACAGTAAGCAAATCGCAAAGCGGCGGAATACATCCTTGCACTGCGAGGTATCGAATTTGTTCGGCTGTTCCACCACTAGTAGCATTTGTAATTGCCCATGCAGCTTCTTTACGTGTTTTAAATTCAGCTTTACTCAAAATCTCAATTAAAACCGGAAAAATATTACCATCAATCACCGCCTAAAAAATAGAAATCAATGTTGTATATTAATTATTGATATACGAAATACATAAACAAAGTTATATTCTATTATGTTTAGAAGATTGAAACATACTTGTATTTGTTGGGGATTACCGGCAGTGATATTAGAGACTGTCCAACAAGCCTCTTTACGAACACTTTCCCGTGGCGAACTTAAGAGATGTAATAGACAATGTAATGCCGAGCAATTTAATACAACTTGCGTTTGCACATCATCTCCAGTAACTATATTTCCTACGGCACGAAGAGCCGCACTTGTTACATTATTTTGTTCATGCCTGAAAAATTTTCATCAATATTATTATATAATATTCCACATAAAATTAATTTTATGCATAATAAATATAAACTTAAACATACATGAGAAGTTCTACAAGACGTCTGCAAACACCAGCATCAATAACAGCTTGTATTTTATCATTTGGGCCATCGCTCAAATAAGAAAGAGCCCAACAAGCATCAGCGAGTACATCATAGTCAGTATGATTGAGAAGATGTGCCAACACTGGTAAACATGGTGCAACCTTTGCAAAAGCTGGTGCTGGATTTTTTCCTCGACAGAGATTTGATAATGCCCATACCGCATTGCGGGTCATAGAAAGTCGTGTTGCTTTTGATAGCAGTCTATATAAATAGTGCAATATTAGTTTTATATTATTGTATGTATATAAGAATATGTGCGACATGTATATAAGAATCTTTTATTTTTCTTATAATAATGATAAACTATAATAATTCACATAAAAAATGTAAAGAAACATACTGCAGAAGTGGTGTGAGAATACCATTGGCTAAGACATGATCTCTGCATTCGGGACTATCGCCTGCAATATTACCCAATGCCCAAACAGCTTGTTCTTGCACATCTTCATATTCAGAACCAAGTAAAGATATGAAAGTAGGAACAGCTCCTGCATCTATCACAATACGTGTTTGTTGAGATGTACCACTTGCTATATTTGTCAGAGCCCATGCTGCTTCAAACTAACAATTAATATTATTATTTATATGTATCTTTAATACACAACAAAAGAGAATTTTTATACTGTCATATTTCTATATACCAACCTGCAGAGTGCAATTTGTATTATTTTTAAGAAATTCAACAAATTGTGGTACGATTCCTGTTTGTATCACCTCATCTATAGGGGGATTTGGCTCTCTTGATAATAATTTTCTAAATTTCTGCGTTGCTGCCAATTGATCTTGTATGTTAGGACTATATAATGCATCTACCATTTCAGATGTTATAATACCAGGAGACTATTAAAATATAAATTTTCTTGTGTAAAAAGAAAAATTATTATGAAACAAATTATACATAAAAACAATAAAAAATATAATTTTATTACCGATTGTGCTGTACCAATAGGAAGTGAATATTCATCTGTAGATGTAACATTATCTTCATCTGCAACAATGTTTGGAACATTGCGACGTTTTGATAATTGCTGCTCACGTTTCTGTTTTCTTAATTGAACTCCCTCTTCCTCTCTGCGTCTTCGCAGCTCTTGTGAATCTAATCCTACGTTTTTGTAACGATGTTTATGTGTAGGTCCAGTTGACATCTGAAAATACAAATAAAAATTATACATATTTTATATTATTATACTTCATATATTATATTTTAATATTATATTTTAGTTATATAAAAGTTTTTCTTGAATAAACTTAAAAATAGCGCAAGGAAGTTATAATAAAATTCACAAATTAATATATATAATTCACAAAATAATATAATCTTCAATATATAATCTGCAAATTTACAATAATCTAATATATTAAATTTCATTGTCAAACAAAACATATTTTTATATATCGGAGGACCAAAATTGACAAATTTTGGAAAATTTCACCATATCATGACATTATAACTATATTTTTAAAACATTATAACTATATTTTTAAGTTATCATTTATTATTTTATCATTGATATGGCTCAAAACTATGTTTTTATGTGTACTGTTTATGTGTACTGTTTATGTGTTTTAAATTGTTACTTAACATTTTATTTTAATTATAACTGATAAATGAAATTTTTGCTTTCAGAAAAAAATTATATTATGTACAAATAATTTTAAAATTTTTATATAAATAATTTTGAAGTTACAGCTTTATAATTTTCAAACAATACATAATATCAAAAGAAGCATGAAAGAAAGACGCATATTAGAAATTTCTGAAACATATGTTTTTTTGAAAATACTTTAAAAATATTATAGGTGTGTGCTATTTTCATGCTCATATGTGCTATAAGTATTAGTTTATTCGTGTTGTCTATCAAATATTAAACAAGGATGTTTACAGTATAGTAAGCGTAAAACAGAATGTAACCAATCTATATATATTTCTGAAACATACAAATTTTTCAAGAATATTGCTTTAATATTACTTTTAATTCTCTTCTCAAAAATGAATTAAAATTATGACATTTTACTTCTTAATCAGTATGTTATTTAAGAATGTTAAAAATAGTTTCTGTAATTGCGTGTCATGTGTGTCATTAATACTTTATTATCTTAGCAAAAAAAGATTTGTATTTATTTACTCACAGTAATCTAAGAATTATTTACATGAAATATATGAACAATACTCGAGACATGTTTAAACAAAAAAAGGAAGATAATTTCGCTCTCTCTTTCTCGTTTAAAAATATCTTCAAATATGCGCGCACTCATAGATGTACACATATATAGATACACTGATTCGTCATACGAGTGTGAATAAAAATACGAAGCAGCGAAAATGACGAGGCTTCAAACGAAACCCGTTTCGTGGAGGAAACCATCTCGAAAGAAAAGAGGGAAAAAAAAGGAGGCGGACAATGATCGCGTTGCCATCATCGATGTCGTTGGTCGCCGCAATGTTCATCTGACAATGGATTCCGCATGAGGGTTAGGAGTTAATCGACGACACGATCGTTGGGGCGGGGATATTGAAGAGGAAGAGCGGATGTATCGTCTTTGGATGCGCATCGTCATTGTACCGTTTGGGAGACGGTACATGATACACAATCATCATCGATCTTCGCTGGCGCGCGATCAGCCGCTTGGGACATTTTGGCACGCGCACAGCCAATGCAGATTGACATTGGCCTGGAATTCTCTCGATCCTTCGGTATGTCAACGCGCTGCTATCACGATTTTGACGATCCTGAACCGTCGCTTGGGAATCAACTATCAATATAATAATAATCGCACTTTGTACTTACGGCTGTGAGGGCAGATTCGAATCTCCTGATCAGGAATCAAGCGTAAAAGATCATACAAGTGCAACGCAAACCCAAGTGCCGCCGCGAATCCTTTCTCTCTCTCTTCGCCATAAACTATGTAGCAATGGTGATAGTGAGACACATGATTTGACAGATCAGAAAAGCACAGTTCGCACAATCGCGACCGCTAATTCACGATTGAGCGGGATTGGCTAGCTAACCGTCATGTGCCATGTTGATTGGTCTGATGTAAAGTCATTAAAAATAGATAGTGTATATGATTTGCTAAGGATAAAATCACACGATGCGAGAAAGGATTGCGAAATAGAGAATGCGACCATCATAGATGCAACCAATTAACGTTAGGGGCTCCGCACAATAAAAGAAACAGAAAATAAGAATTTCAACCTATCAGAAATGTTTTCAAATGAGGTGAAAATGACAAAAGTGAGCAAATTCATTAGAGTATTCATAATTTAATTGATGAATACTTAGTAAAACCTTTGCTCACTTTTCACCTTTCAAAATCCACAATTAATCACTAGAATCAATTTCTAGTATTTAATGTTCCATGTTTGATAAAACTGATGCAAAAAATTGGTGCAAAAAACTTGCACTGAGTTCAACTTTTGCTCCACTGTCTTCGAAATCAATGGAGACTAGTGCAAGTTAAAGTTGAGGTTTGTGCTAAAGTATGATATTATATTATGATATTACATTATATATAATTAATGTTATAACAATGACATTGTTTAGTTTCAAATGATTCTAATAATAGCTATGCAATAACATTTTGACGTTTAAAACTCTTGAAATGTAAAAATTTAATTTAAAAAAATGTTTTAAATAAATAAATGAATCAGAATATTGTAAAATAAGTAATTTGAACATAGTTATATATATATATATTTTTAGGGATGCTAATGATACGTTCCATTGAACCGCACACACACATACACACACTAAACGTGCATTATTACTGCACTAGTGCAGTTTTTATCTAAACCTAGCATGGCACTAGTGCTGCACTAGTGCTGCACTAGTTTCCCCAGTGGAAAACGCTATTAATTTTAAATACTACAAAATGTGAAAAAAATATGTATGTTCGGTAAATATATGTGTTTATTTATACGCTTATTTATACATTTAAGAAAATGACAAGTCGCAATAGTTTCTTTCGTTTTCCGATGTTTGTCAGCGTTCCATAATTTTTTCCTTCATGGAACATTTTTATCCTAATATAACACAAAGATATTATTTGTTAGATTGTATACGATTTTCCTCTTTTGACATATCAAAACATGTGATTATGTAATTATGAAAACAAATTTTTCATGGCTAAATTGCCAAATACTGCATTTGCTATGATATGATTAAATCCTGGTGTGTCCATAGGAACTCATGGATAACTCTTTGAAACATCTTTTCAGTCAAACTGCAAATCGATATAACATCGGGAAAAGGAAATATAAGATCGCCATTCGATTTTTGAAGAATTAACTTAAACCTATTGTCATTGGAGTTGCCATTACAGAGAACAGAGCAACAAAATATACAATGAATTCTTTTTTTTAATCACCATTCGCACGACGTAATCTGCAACTGCATTTTCGGCAAATTGGGATAACTTAAAATAATTTGGAGGCATTTCCGATTTTTAACTTCATCGATTCTCCGTCTTATTCTTCGATTAATATTTGAAGGCAGAGCATTCAAATTCAAAGGCTGAGCATTCCATTTTTTCGTTGATAGAGGTATCAGTAGAGTTAAAAGAGATTCCGTCATCAATGGCATAAGCACGAAACAAAGCATATGTTAAGATATCGCACTACGACGTTTCAATACTGAGTAATAGAATTCCGAATTGCAAAGAAAATTGTAGTTTGCTTCATAGCAATCACATTGCCATTTGAAGCCTTTAAGTCTGAATCAGATTACGTATTGAAGAATGAGATTGAAGATTGAAAGATTCAAGTTTGACCAAGCAGAACAAAAGGACCCAAAATTTCTTTGTCCTCATTGATGAAATTTCAATCTTTAATCTTTATTCTCAATCTTCTCAATACATAATCTGATTCCGGTCTTACTTGATGCCTCACTAGCAGACGTTTATAAGCTGAAAGATAGGTGGCGAGATGTAGGATTAACACACCATTGTCCTGTAGCTCGGATTACATTAAAATATAACTCAAGATCTTGTGACATTTTGTACATAAGGAAGTACTTTAAGTGGGTTTTGACTTCTTATTAATCATATCTTATTCATCAAATATGATCACACGAACTATGCTTTCGTAGATCTAGCGATCTTTTTTCTCCATAGACTTCATCAAATTTTGTAACTGCAACACTTTCATCGTCGATCGACGAAATTTCTTTATTATATTACGTTTTTGTTCTTTCATCATAATTACCTTAGCTTGCGAAAAATGTAACTTTCGTTGCAAGCTTCGTGGAGTGCTTGCATAACAGTGATCGTTTTCGCAAATGACACTTCTATTGCAAGATTTCAGCTCAAATAACAGTTTTTCCAGAACAGCTATCTTTTCCTGTAACTTTAGGACTTCTTCTATTAATGATAAACATCCGGTGAATTTATTCTACAAAACGGAAATACATCTTCATAATTTCAATAGTTACAAGAAATAGTAAAATCACGAAATAAATACATAAAAAGTTGACAATAATTAAAATTATACAATATTAATATTTATTAGACAAATTGAAAATATAAAATCACATTTTGAAATTTAAAGCTGCTATTTTTAATTTTGAATTTTCTTCCTTCAATTTATTTGTTATCAAGATTATAAAGAGCACTCGGGAACCAAAATTAATGTTAATTGAATAAATAGAAAATGTATATTTTTTAATAAAATTCATTAACTAATTATTGAAACGATTTTTCAACAAATTTGATTTTCAAGTTATTTGTAACGCTGACCGAACATTCGTTCAAATATATTGAAATACTAAATCAATAAAATTTGCAAGAAAATTATAAACCATAAAATGATTTTACCTTGTTTAAATTTTCGAGGAACGATTCTAGTGTGATTTCGACGATCGGTTCCTCGACTGTACTCTTTTTTATCATTGACTCCTCTATTTTTGCTTCTTTAATCACTGATTCTTCAAGTACAGAATCTTGAATATATGAGATATTCTACAAAGAGCAAACTAATAATTATTAACAAGTATGAATGATGTTACGAAGTAAACTCTTTTTTATACAATTATATTTATTATTATTAATAAAATAATTAATAATAATTAATAATAAAATTAATAAGTGTTTTGTATTTTTTTGAAATTAATAATTTAATTTCACATTTTAAAATACAAAAAATATACAATTTTTAATATAATTACTTCATAATAATGCAAATTATTATTTCATTATAATTATATTAAAAATTGTAATTTTTTTTTAGTATTTTTAAAATTTGTATTTGTTTTAAGAAATTTGCACCATGAGATAAGATATCTGTAATGTAAAAAATTCTGCAATGTGCATATTTTTCATTCTGTATTCAACTTATGTCTCTATTTTCTTTGTTGCGTTCTGTGACCATTACTTTTGTACATTCCAGTTCAACAATCTCCATTTTTGGAAGAATGTAGCGCAATCGAGGTGCAAGTGTTTTAGACCTTAATTTATATATTTTTTTTTTTCGAGGATCACACTGTAATACATAAAAATGCTACTTTAATATCTTGCAAGTTGTGTGAAAATGGTTTTAAAACTGAAACTAACATTTATACTACCCTGTATCTGTCTATGAATTATTAGATTTCAAGTTATTTTTTTTTCAAATGAAATCAAGGTTTATGTGCCTACTCATGTTATCACATTGCTATTTTATACAACTTACTGAAAAGACTGAAGGATATGCTGAATCTTTTAATATACGGCAGCTTACTGCAACTAACATAGTCACTGTTAAGGAAATGATTTGAACACAAAACAGATTTTGTATTCTTTTTTAATCTTTCATGTTCACAGTTATGTTTTTCCAAGTACGCATGTATTTGATCAATCCACAATTGAGATCGATTTTGGTCTCTCAAGGGAAATCTATATAGACATGAATGGTATAAACAAATGATACAAACAAAAATATCATTTCAATTTTATTAGTTTCATTCAATAAAATAATTTTAATAACATTTCATATCCTACATCGTTAACATGCAGGAATTAATATATTTAATATAAGAATTCTTACCTATGAAATGAAATACCCTTTTTACTTCTCTGTCCACACCCAGGCACACAGCATCTCATGTTGATATTTTGTAAACAGTCACGCGATTTTATAATCTTTCAAATATTATATAACCTCATACACGATGGTTTTGTTGACATATGTGTCTTAAGCCGATTCTACATTAGTTGCAAGCCAATATGAAGCATTGATTCCAAAATGCAAGCTTCAGATTGGCTGTCGCAACAAACTTGCGGTCGGCTTGCAACTAATGTAGAACCAGCTTTAGTTGCAAGCTAATCGCAAGTTTGTTGCGACTGCCAATTTGATTTAATCAATTTCTTTTTCTTCTGAAGAGAAAAGGAAGAAAAATGAATTGGTGTAAAAGTTCAACCAAAAAAAAACTGGGCACTTATTCTTGAAAAGTGTTGCATAAAAAAAACTAAAGAAATACTATAGTATGCGCTACATATATTATAGTATTTCCTCTTTAGTTTTTTTTTACTTTTTTATGCAATAATTTTCAAGAATAAGGCCTCTGGTCTCATGTTAAGTCCATTCTACAATGGGCAGTAGCAGTAATAGATTAAGGAATAGGCGTAGAAATCAACCAATGGTCGAATGTGCGAAGAATAATCAATTATAATTAGTCGATTTCTACACCTACTCTTTAATCTATTACTGCTACTATCCATTGTAGAATGGGTTTTAGAGTGTATAGCAATTGCACATGAGTCAATTGCGCACAAGCTAATCAGTGCTTAAAAAAAAAAAAAACCCTACGTAGAAGTCGCTGTGAAATTGTTAGAGGCTCCGCACAATAAAAGAAACAGAGAACAGAGAACAGAGAATAAGAACTTCAATCTATCAAAAATCATAGTGGAATAGTTACACAGGTATAGGTAATAGTTACAATAGGTACACAGTTTCTGATAAGTTGAAATTTTTATTCTCTGTTCCTTTTATGGTGCGAAGTCCATTACAGTATGCAAGTGAACCGCTTCTCTCATGTTATCCCTTCTCGTGCTTCTGATTGCATTTAAAGAAGTATTTTCTAAGAGTATTTTATAAAAAATGTATTTAAACATATAAGAAAAAAATTTATTTCGACGAATAATAAAAAAAGAAATACACATATGCTTGTCAATCACTGCCCATTATTCAAAATTCAGTTTCTATCAAGCAATTATAGACAGAATTAAATATGAATAAAAATCAAGATGAATTGGATAATGGTATTAATCTTAATAAATCAGACATGAATTAAAAAAAAACTATGATATCTAAAATAGATTCTCTGTTAAAAAATAATGAAGAAAGTTAAAATTAAGTGAAATACATGCAATTCAAACTAGTAAAATAAATGCTCAAAAAGTTAAAAATCGAAAGAACCTATTGATAATAAAATATTAACGAAACAAGTTAAGAAACTTACTGAATAACTTCCAATCAATTGATAAGTTAATATGTTTTATCAATGTTCTATTGTAAAAGGGCCTTGAGAATTCTATATGATATAACCAAATATATATTAGAAAAACACTTTGTGTCCAGCTTCTTGCTAAAGACACTTCAAAGAAAAATTCAAAGAATATTCTAAGAAATTTGTCTTACGTTTAGAAAATATAACCAATAATTAATAAATTGTATTGTAAATATGTATTCGATTTATAATTTTCTATTGAAAGTAATAGTACAATATTGTATGAAAAATTAGAAACTTGGCTTTTTCGAGGTTGGTTAATCATAAGAAATGATATGCAATCTATTAATTGTTACGTACAGTTTTATATATATTTATATATTATATATTAAAATTTTTTTCTTAAAAATGATTTCATAATCCTGAAACCTGTAAAATATGTCGCAAACTGAGATCTGTCCGATGTTACATAGAAGTATAAATTTAATTTCTAAAAATCTATCAAAAACTGTTATAACGTCGATTTTTGACAGCTGAAAGAAATGTACATATTATTTCAGAAATTATTATACACTAAGGTACAATATTTTTGTTTTTATTATAAAGGGTTTGGTAATTTAATTTTTTAATTCAATATTCAGTTACAACATTTTCTCGAATTCAATCAAGCAATTCTAAGCCCATAGCAGAAGGGATTTCAAGTTTAAAAAAAATTTGAAAATGTCTGAAAAAGCCACCTCATAATCTAGTTCTAGTTAAACTGTAATGATAGTTCCGCTTATCAACATCAGATAATTGAAAAATCATAAAATAAGCTTCTGAAGTTTCTCATATAAAATGTGTGAATGTATGTTCTCCGTTGCAATCAAACATGAAGTTTTGCAACAGTTTTATGATTGTCTGCAGAGATAGATTCATTCCTCTAAAAAAAATAATTTAATCAGCGCGAAGAAAACTTCCAACAGTTGTAAAATGAACGTTTTGCTGAACGCAATCTGACATCCATTAATTTGTTACATTAGCCTGCCCATCAGATTATTCAAAAATTGAACTTTTATTTGTATGTAAACTTATACAAGATACATTAGTATGAGTATCTGATAAAATATATCTGATTTTTCATAGCAAGGAATCAATCGGAATTCTTAAAACATATTCAAAGATTTAAGAGGATCGTTCAAATGTGCTTTGAAATATCATTTAAGGAATTATTTTTATTTCCATATCATACATATCACGATCCACAAAAAACATTAATTTCACTTTTTTTAAATAATATTTCTATTTAACGTACAAAGATTTAAACAACTAAAAACAACATATCACAAGAGTTTCTTCATTTTAAAAGCAAAATCGCTAAATTCAAGGAATAAAGTGCTACACGTTAACAGTACACACGTTGAGAAACATAATATGGAAACGGAAAATTAAAATCAACAGCTTTAGAATATATATACAAGCACAGTATAGTATCAATTAAGGCAAAAGCGTATATAAGGGATGCTTTCTATTTAATGATACAAGTCAATGATACGATCCAAATGTTCTATTTTTTTCCCAATTCCATGAATAATAAAGACAGAATGATAGTTAATTTGTGTCACCAAATGGAAAACACTTACAATTAGCAAAAAGGAAAAAATTAGACATATCATATC